GATGAAGTCGTGGAGGTTGTCTCATCTTCTGTATTGTCGACTTCATAAACCTGAGCTGGCTTCGGCTCCGAGTGGACCTTTAGCTTCCCACTCTTGCCTATATCCTATTTCGGATTGTCGCTCCAATTGTTAGTGGTCTCAGTTGTTTTATAACTGCCACGTCGGTTCTTATTGTTGTTCGGCTTCCTGCCCTTGTAACCGTTCGCTTGCGTATTACCCTGTGGCTTTTGGTCGTACGTCTTCTTTGACGTCTTGCCATCGTTGGGTTTCTTCCGCGAGCTCTTGGCATATATATTCAGTGGCCGGTCCAGCATGCCCGACTCTAATCGCTTCAGCGTAGCGTCTTTACCATATGCCACTATTGATATCAGCAGGCGGTCTTTCTGGCGATAGGAGATTACTCCCTCTCTTCGTATTGTATCGAGCGCATCTATGAGTTGCTCTGTATTCTCGATAGATGGGTGGTAGATCGCCTGCGATATAACCCGTAGCTTCATCTCAAAGAGCTTTGGTATACTAGCTTTCTTCTGTTTTAGCTGTAAGATTAGCGACATAGGGTCGAACATAAGGTTCTCTATATCTTCAACGACTTCGAACCCGTATCGTGGCTCATCATGACGTTGCCGTGGCCCTGAATCAACACTGCTGAAACCAGATGAGTCATCCCTAATCATCTCATCCAATCCGACCGGCATCTGCGGTGGAGGTTGGTTGGGTACTTGGTTTTGTGGCATCGGAGGAGGAACGTAGCTCTTCACCAACGAGTTCGATGGTTGCTTCGTCAAGGTTGGCATAACCTTGTTCTTATTAGCATCTCGGAACTCTCTTGTCGTTAGTAAGGGCTTCAGATCCAGAGGCGGAATCATCTTTTTCTGGAGATCTGTGATCATCGTTCTGAATTGTTTTGCCCATGACGGGTGCGTGCCTTCCATGTACTTATCCCTGATCTCATAGAGGTCTTCAATGTGTATCTTTTTCTCTAATGTACGAGTTTCGATAAGCTTTGTAGGGATAAGTTGGAATAGTTCCATATCAAGGAACTTCTCCTCTTTGCATTTCCGGAAGAATTCGTTATAGACTTCTTCCGGGTTAGTGTTGGCTCGAGTCTGTACCATAATATTAGGGTGCAATGGTTCAATTAGGTTCAGTGTTAGAATTATATGTATCCAAGGGATCGATCTTAAGAAAAATTATATGTTGCATTAAATAAAAATCATTTTATGAGGGGAGACGGTGTCTCCTCGAGATAAAATCGGCCGGGTTCTGGCCTCCTGGCACGTATGCAAACTTAGCTTTGTACAGCTGTTTGATGCGTGAAGCGTAAATCTCGAGGTCGTTGCGAGGCTCCTCTCGTCGAATAAGCCCTTGATAGAGTCGTAGGTTGTCCGTCAGTATAATCTTTTCGCAGCCATCATCGATGTGCCGGATAAGACTTCTATATTTCACGAGCAGCTTATACGCACCTTGAATTTCCTTGAAGGATGCCAGGTTAGTTACCGTATGTGTTAACGGTACTGCTTCTTCAAGTACGCAATTTCCATTGTAGCGTACGTGAATGCCCGCTGCCGTGTCTGACGCGTCAACGAAGATCTCTAATCGCTTGGCTTGCCATGGCGTACCTCGGGGTTTCTCCCAGCAAACGTCCAGAGCCTGGCGTAGGTCTCTAGCGACTTGGGTGAAGTGGCCCACCTTCGTGAGGATTTGCCTTAGCTTGATCGCCGAGTCTCTTTGGGCCGGTGTCAATATCATTTTATAATACCCTAATTGATGGGTTGCTCGAATAACTTCATTCGTATTCTCGCTACGCAGATGTTCGCGTATCTGCTTGCCCTTTTCAATCGGGATTGCTATCTTATCTTTGGAGATGCGGTACCCAAGTACATCAAGTACTTCAGCCCGACTCGACTTCTCCGGATTTACTTTAAATCCTTGTTGGCGTAACAGATTGATTACTCTGTCGTATCGCGCGTTCAGTTCGCCGCGAGAATTCGCTGCGACTACGATATCGTCCTGGTAGGATCTGACGTTCACCTGGTCATCTGTCTCCAGGCGCCCCAATACTATGCTCATGACCTTAGCAAAATGCTTAGGGGCAGTCTTTGCACCCATCGGCATTCTGGCACAGCAGTATGTCTTCTCGTCAGGTGCCATAAAGCTATAGTAAGGCTGTTGACTTGTCACCACCGGAACGGAAGACTGAGTAGCAAACCAGCCAGAAAAAGGAACACGGCAGGGGTCGTCGGCGAGTCGGTCTAAAAAAAGAACAAAGAGCTGTGTTGCGTCCTCGCACACCGAGATGGCGGGACTCGGAAGGGCGGGACAAACGTGTTGGCACCCCGGACCTCTGTACCCGAGATGTTCGACTCAGCCCCCCCGTGGAAGCCAGACTGAAGTCGTTCATGATTTGCGTCTGCCGGGAATCGAACCCTGGTCGCCTCGACAGCAACGAGGCATTCTACCACTAGACCACAAACGCCGAAGAAATAACAAATCTGCGGGGCGCGGGCCGACTGGTACCCGTAGCTAACCGCCCAACTATCACGGTATAGCACTGC